TGACTTCCCCTGCCAATCAGGCATCTTGGAACAGTGCACAGTGGCAGCCCTTTTAAGAAAACCCTAGACTTCTCACTTGGAGCTGGCCTTCAAACTTCTTTTTGGCCATTCTGTTAAATCTCTTTCTCTCTCTCTCTCTCTCTCTCTCTCTCTCTCGTACATGGTGCTACTAAATTACAAAGAAAACTGGGAAGTCTAGGCTTGCTGAAGAAAGACAATGACATTGGATTTGTTCATCACATAGTTTTGTCTCTGTCAGTCTACTCATCTGTGCACCAAATATCCATTTACTCTCACCCCAAATCAGACAACCCAAAGGTCATCCAGGTGCTCTAACCAGCTCAAAGTCTAGGATCTCGGTGATGCTGTACAGTCCTCATCAGTAGGTCAAGATTGGCTCCCTGTGACCTGGCAGAGCCTTCAAACTATAAGACAAGTTACCTGCTTGCCCAGACCTGTGCACATTGGTAGGGTGAGAACAGGATATCTAAAGTTAAAACTCCCATTCAGCCAGGGAAGTAATGGAAGAAGCAGTTCTAAAATCCTAGCAATGGAGGAGTTCTTGGATTTGATAAGCTAGGGTTTATATCTAAAATGTCCCCTAAAAGTCTCCTGTGTTCCAAGGAGGGACTTTGGAAAATGATTGGATCATGGGGATGCTAAATTCCTGGGTCACCAGAGGAGCTGAGGTCAGGATGCCTTTGTTACCAAGGGTGACCAACCATTCCAGTTTTCCAGGACTGAGAGGATTAGGCAGACAGGGAACTAAAGCAGGCATGTCCTGAACAATCAGGACAAATTGGTAATCCTAGGTACCATCAATCATAGGTTACCAATGACTGTGGGGAAATTATCCATCTTTATATCTGAAAATCCTTGCTTTTGTTGCCAACATTATTCTGTGAGAGCTGCACTTTAACCTCCAAAGTTAAACTTTCTAGAAGTTCCCTAAACACCAGTCTCCCCTACCTCTCCCTCCTAGTCCTGTGACTTCCACGAATTTGAGTTGGGTCCATGTAGGATTTAATGAGTGTACACATTCAAGTCACCTTCTGCCTCTCCCACTTGGTCAGGGGGACTGTTCACCTGCCTGATAAATCACCTTTCTTTCAATAAAAGATTATCCATTCTGAGAGCAGATGAGAAGTGAACCACATGAATGGCTTCTATGGGTCAAACAGTGAGAAGCAGCTGCAAACAATCCCTTAGGGCATTAAACTAAGACCTTCAGTGGACTGATAATAGCTACCTTTTGGCCCATCTCTAACTGACATAGTGTCAGTTTCAAGCACGAAAGCCATCACAGAGCTCAGCTGCCAGAGAAGAGATTGCTGTTAAGTGTGGTCACTTACCTGTCGACTGCTGTTTGCTCCTCAGTCCCCTCCCTGACATGTTCCTGTCCTGGCTTATTACTGCACATGAATTGTCTAAAAATGCCTGCACAGAGGCAGCTCAAGGGTTGAAAGAGAAAATTGGAGCCATTCAGGAAGACAAATGTTCTTCTCTCACCCAGAGCTATGGTTCCAGGTGGTGGTAGCGGAGGCTCTCTAACCCATGAACATGATTCCTGCTGTCATCCACTCCTGGAAACCCTCTTCCCTCCTTTAATCCCCTCCGAGGGCTCAGTGGAAGTGCAGCTTCTTCCAAGAAGCTACTCAGGATTTCTCCTGGCCAAATCATCTGTCACAACTGCTAACCAGAAAGCAGTTGAAAAATAAAGAGGTTTTACATTACCCAGCCCAGACTTGAATCAAAATCTTAGGATAAAGGTTCTAAAAATACCTATTTTAACAAACACTCCAGGTACTTCTTTAAAAACATTTTAATTGAGCTATAAATTACCTATGAAACAACTCACCCATTTAAAGTGTCAATTTAATGGCTTTTCATATATTGACAGGTTTGTGCAACCATCACTACAATCAACTTTAGAATAGTGTTATCACCCTCAAAAAGAAACTCCAGTTCCTCCACACTGCCCTATCCTGGCTCTAGGCAATCATAAATTTATTTCTGGTTCTACAGATGTGTCTGTTGGGAATACTCCCTATAAATCAAACAATCTGTGGTCCTTTCCGACTGGCTTCTATTATTTAGATAATTTTTCCAGGTTCATTCATCTTGTAGTACCAAGAATTTATTTCTTTTTAATGTCCAAATAACATTCTACTGTATGAATATGCCAAGTTTTATTTTTCCATTCATTAGTGTGTGTACATTTGAGTTGTTCCCACTCTGGGTTGTTATGAATAATGCTTCTATGAATATGCAAGTTTTTGTGTGGACATATGTTTTTGTTTGTCCTGGCTATGTGCCTAGGAATATAATTGCTGGATCACATGGTAAATTTATGTCTAACTTTTTGAGCAATTACTAGATTCTTTTTCACAGTGGCCGCACCATTTTATATTCCCAACAGCAATGTATGAGGATTCCAGTTTTTCAATGTCTTCACCAATACTTATTATTACCTACCTTTTTATTTTAGCCATCTTTTTGAGTATAAAGTGGTATGTCATTGTGGCTTTGATTTGCATTTTCCTGGTAGCTAATGCAAGCACTTTTATACTCACTGAAGTTTGAGAGCTGCCCTATAGTATAGTAATGGAGTTACCTGTCTTAGGACTCCTGTTAGATAATCAGTCCCCAGAAGCCTGGGAGTATAGCACATGGCTGCCTGGATCCCCTCAGTCATTTTCCAGGGCATCGTGTGTGGCCCATGCTTAAGAGCTACTGCCTAGTGAAGACCCACTCTGTGTAGGCAGTTTACATGAACTAACTCATTGAATCACCCTAACCCAACTAGGTAGAGATAATTGTTAACACCATTTTGAAGGGGAAGAAAGTGAAACACAGAAAGTTAAATAACTTGCCCATTGTCACTCAGAAAGCAAGTGATGAAGCCTATATTTGAGCTCAGGTTGCATGGTGCCAGACTGGGCTTGTTCCTGCAAATACACCTAGTGATTATGTGAGTGAATTCAAAAGCCCATATAAAGGGGGGTCCAGTAGGCTACAAACACAGAAATCACTCTGCCAGCTCTTGGAGTGAACAGCCATCTTTCAGGAAGAACAGAGGAGGGAATCTGAGCTGTCTGTTCCTATGAATGACATCTGGATACCTAACAAAATCCCAATTCCTGATGTAGGACATAGATATTTCAGGTCTTGGATTTTTTTTTTTAATTCCAAAGATGTAACTACTGAGCTTCCAAGCCCATCAAGAATTATTTATAGGCCAGCACAGTAGTGCATATGTGTAATCCCAGCACTGAGGAAGGTTGAGGGAGGAAAGAAAGGAAGAGAAGAAAGAAGAGGAGAAGAGAAGAAAAGGGAAAGGAAGGAAAGGGAAAGGAAAAGAGAAAAGATGAGAAGAGAGAAGAGGAGAGAAGAGAAGAGGGCCCACAGAGAAATAGAAGATGACTATGCATGAGCAGAAAAGAAGGAAAAAATACAATAGCAGGCAGTAATAGCATAGGCACAAGTTTAACAATATTAATAGTTATTATTTGTAATAAATTTACTGACAGGATCGCTAAGTTGCTAACCCTAAACTATACTTTCATTCATGTTCTCTCACGTACATTATTGAGCAACACAATAATCCTAAGAGGTGGGTATTACTCATGCAAACGTCTTAGAGGTGAGGACACTGAAGATCAGAGGAGTTAAATAACTTACCCAAGATTCCCCCAGTTAGTAAGTAGAACACTGGGATTTAGAGCCTGCAGTCTGACTCCAAAATCCAAGTTCTTAACTATAACCATAATACAGAATATTTTACTTCTCCAAGGACTATCTATGGGTAAAGATGAGGTGTGGAAATGACTTTGGATCATCTGTGTCTCAATGAAGCCACAACAGATCTTTGAAATCACAATTACATAGACTGGGCATGTTTTCCATTATCCTGTCTATATATTCATGTACACTTACATGTATGTATTCAAGAAATGTGTTTTTATTGCGTCCTGCTCTTTGTATACACACTTGCATTTAATATTTCCAACAGCCTTGAGAGTTTGGGGGAATACATTAGGAATAAATCTTGCTCTGCCTGTGATATATTGCTTCCAAAAATTGTTGCAATGGAATCTTAACCTCTTACTTCTTTTGTAATAAGACTTTATTGATCTTCCTGTTATGAGGTGGAGTCTATGTATCCTCACCTTGACCCTGGACTGGTTGTGATTTGCTTTGACCAGTGGAATACAACAAAATACCAAATAGATACATAAAGGATTGATAGGTAGATAGGTAATCTATATGTATCTATAGATCACTACTGAGAGAGAGAGAGAGAGAGAGAGAGAGAGAGAGAGAGAGAGAGAGAGAGATTTAAGTAATTGGCTCATGCTATTATGGAATCTGATAAGTCCAAAATCTTCAGGGTGGCCATCAAACTGGAGACCACAAAGAGCAAACATTATAGTACAGTTCCAAAGACTCTACTGAAGAATTCCTGCTTGTTTGGTGAAGGTCGGACTTTTATTTTATTCAAGACTTTCAGTGATTGGACAAAGTTCACCCATCCACATTATGGAAAGCAACTAGCTTTGCTCAAAGTTCAACAATTTAAATGTCACTTCCATCCAAAAACACCCTCATAGAACATCAGAATAACATGTGACAGAGTGTCTGGGCAACAGAGTCCAGCCCAGTTGACACAAACTATTAACCACCACACAGCTGTCCGCAACTTCCAGCATAATGAGCTTGAGAGACTTTTGTGACACCACGTGGACCAGAAGAACCACCCTTGCTGAGCTATGCCCAATTTCCTAGCTCACAAACTCATGAGAAATAATAAATTATTGGTTTTAAGCCACTATATTTTAGGCTTTTTGGCATACAGCAATAGAAAACTGAAAACTTCTCTGATGAATGTTAAAATTTAGTGATTTTAACAAAAGAATGAATAAACATATAGGTGTGTGATTACATACCTGACACTAGGAATAAAACTGCTCCTTCATTATATTCATTAAACACATACGTACTAAGTGAAACTTCCATGGTAATGTCACACAAGGTTGTGCTTCCTTTTCTAGGCTGATCCACCTGTTCAGGATGTCGGCTTCTCTGTCTGTGAAATGGGCATGATGGCCTGCATCTTCTCTGCCTCTAGGGCTCTTGTGAAGATGGAGTAGAAAGAGAAGCAAAAGTGTTACGATTGCTGAAAAGTCCTGCAAGCTGCCTCCTAACCAAATAAAAATCCCCTTGAGCCCAAAACGCAAAATTGCTTTACAACATATTTCTGAAATGGAAACATCTGGTCAAGGAAACTTAAAGGAAACCGCAACCTTTCTGACCGAAGCAATTTTGTCTAATCGCTGGCCTCCAGAGCTCCTCCTTCAGCTGCAGTCCGCCCCACTGCTGAGAGCTCCACTGTGAAACATGTCAGCTTTTTTTTTTTTTTCTTTCGACATCTGCTTTTTCTATTTTTATTTTAACCAGGAGAGAAAGGGAAAACCTTGTTGGGTATTCCAGTTAAAAGTATAGAAATCTCTCCATGCATTTATTCACCAGGGTGTCTTTTAATTGTAGTTACAGAGCAAACTGGGGTGAACGAGGATTGTACAGAAATTGTAGAAGCAACCTCAGCAAAGCTACAATTAGTCTACAGATGGATAAGATTCCCACTGGGTTATGAGATAGGGAATCCAGCAGCCAAATCCAAACATGTCCAGTCTGTTTAGAAACACCTTAGTGATTCCCTGAGATTCTCTGTATGAAGACTGGCATCTGCCTGAGCTGGATCTTGCTTACCCCCTCAGCCCTGCCCCTCACCACCCACCTCCGTGGGCTTCACGCTTCGCGTCGACGCAATTGTCTTGTCTCCGAACTTCACAGAAGTTTATCCTTCTGGTACAACACCTCCCCTTCCATGGTCACCTAGGCAACTCTTTTGGTGTTGTTATGGTTTGTGTCTAGACATCCCCCCAAAGCCTCATGTGGACATACGGCTTTTTCAGAGGTGGCTGAATTTAGAGTGTGTGATGCTGGGATGAAGGGCATGTGATTACTAAGCCACTACAGGCTGGATAAGATAAAAGGGACAGAAAGACACTGTTAAGATTCCCTTGTTGCTTTGCTACCTTCAGTCCACCATGAACTGTTTCTCCTCTGCCATGTACCACCCTGCCTTGGAGCCAGTCGTTCATGGACTGAAGCCTCTACAAACTGTGAGCTAAATAAACCTTTCCCCTTTTAACTTTGGGTGTCGGGTATTTTGTCTCAGCAATGAGAAACTTCTTGGTACCAAAATCCATATCAATCAGAATTTACTAGAGAAACAGATATAACACAAGATATATAAATACATATGAATTTACAAGATTGGCTTACAATGGCCACTCACAGAGTCGGATGAGAAAGAGTGCAGAGGGTCTGTTTGCATGCTGGAAACCTGAGGATTTAGTCGAAGGTCTGGAGCTCACTGCAGTGTCCCATGTAAGTCTGTATCAGGAGGCCAATGAGACTACACTGGAAGGCTGAAGAGTCTATGTCACCAGAAAGCTGAAAGATCTGGGCCAGAAGCTGAAGAGTCTGCGCTGGAAGCCAGGAGATGATGTCCAAGGTGAAGGCGAAGACTAGAGCTCCTGCGAAGGAACAGAAGCAGACCCATCCTTTCTCATTTCCTCTTTATGCCCCCCCACCAGGCCACGAGCCGCCCTAGGTGGGTCCTCCACACCCTACGTGTGGAATTGCTGAGCCGATTTAGTTAAACTTCTCCTATCCAAACTTCTCAAGTGGACACAATCAACTATCACAGGTGTCTTTTGTTTTTGACTCACCAGCACCCAGGGTTTGTCACCACCTTAGGGTGATGTCAGATTACAATTTCCAAATTGTTAAAGGCATGGCTCTCGTACCAATGCACCATGAGCCTATGTTGAAAACCCATTTAACTTATGAATGAGGGATCCAGTAGGCTGATAACACTGGATCAGAGGAACCTGCAAGGAACTTAGTATGTACAATCAATGAAAGGAAGAACATTGACCTAAGATGGTGACTTGGATACATAACTGAAGACAGTCTTATAAGCATTCAATCATAACCCTTGGGGACCATTGTCTCTGGTGGACAGAAATCATCATTCACATCTCTACCAGACAAAAGTCATTTGCAACTTCTCAATTTCCTACAAATTAAGGTCTGCCTTGTTGGGCTGTAGACCCTAACTAGCTGTGACAGTAAGCTAAGAGTATCAGATTAGCCGGGTATGGTGGCCCTCGCCTGTAATCCCAACCCTTGGGAGGCCGAGACAGGAGGATTATCATGAGTTTGAGGCCAGCCTGGGCCACATAATGAGTTCGAGTTCAGCCTGAACTATATATGAGACCCTGTCGAGAGAAAGAGAGAGAGTGAGATAGTCAGATGACCCTTGGGCTGTCTATAAGACAGCATCTTAGGACTGTGTTGAAGGACTCAGAGTCAACTCTCTGGGTAACTTTTTTAACCAGTTACGTTAATACCTTGGCAGAACTTCTGAGTTAACGGAAAGCACCTAGGGACAAGGATTGTGTTTCGTTCCCTCTTGCAGCTCCTGCCCCTACTTTGGTGTCTGGTTTTTGGTAGATGTTCATGGAATTATTGTTGAATGAATTCAGAGAAAGCTTCAGCTTTCTCTTCCAGCACCAAATTACCTCCTCCAATGGGCTGATCAGTTTCCCACAGATCCAGGTCAGGAAAGATGAAAAATCAGGGCAGCGATCCCAGCCCAGGTCTCCCTCCCTGGGTGTCCCTATAGTGACCCCAGGTCTGCACCCACTTCCGCTGCACAAGCCTGGAGAATAACCTGATGATCAGGCACGGAGGGCAACAAGAGAGAAGCATGTCTCCTGAGCTGGATCCAGACAAGAATCAGATCCTCCCATTGTAGGTGCCTGCCTGTCCCCAGACCCAGCACATGGACTGGAACCCAGCCCTCTCTGGCTGGCTGCTGTTGGGAGCCCAAGGGCTCACTCTATCCCTGGATTCCCTCCCCAGGGACAGCTCTTAGGGCTCCAGGCATGTTGCTCATGATTCTAATGGGCTTATGGGGCAGCCTGCTTCTCTCACAGATAACGAGCCTGAATAATTTACATCAAGACTAATTTGTGCACTTAAAAGCATGTGTTGCTGAGCAGGGATGAATTGTCTTATTTGCAACTTGCTTTTATTAGCACGGAGGTAGGTAAAACAGAGGGCTTGGGATCAGGACACACTCCAAACACTTTCAAACTCTGGGGGCCTGAAAAGAGATGGGGGAAAATGGAAATGGCATGGATGGGAGTGGCTATCACTTTATACGAGGTACAATGGAAATACACGGTGAATGGTTAAATGAAAAATTTATTACAGTAAAGGACAGATTGCCACTAATGCCCTGCAAAATATCCCCACCTTGATTCAAGCACATTTATCCCATCCTTCTTGCCACATTCTGAAGCAGTTCTGGAAGTTCCCTTTCATAAGTGTCTTTACAAGATGTGATAAAAATATGGTGAAGGGTGCTGCCCAGTGCCATCCAACAGGAAGGCAGTCTCATAAAAACATTGATGCTGTGTCCTCATTCTCAATATTCACTGCATCTGGTACCATGTGACTTCTGGCTCTTCCTCAAAGTCAAAATGACCATGAAAAGTAAACATTATAATCAATTCAGGACCTTGAGGCAGCCATGACAGCACAACTAATGACACTCACAAAAGAGGGCTCCAGAACTGCTCAGAAAGTGGCAAGCAGGGGTGGGCAAGCAGGAGTATTCTGAGGGGGGGTCAATGTCAGTGTGTGTTTTACTGCAATAAACTTTTAAAAATTCAAGCCTTCACCCTTTTTTTTAATCACATCTTGTATAATACTACTGCTAAGCTTGGGGATCACATAAAAATTTAGAAAAACAAAGATGTGTCTGAGTATTGATGAAACACAGAAAGGGTTTTTGACTTGGTGACAAAGTGGTGGGCTTCACCCTACTCCTACTCAGGCACTGGGTGGGCCGGGCATTGAAGGTGTAAAAGGGGGATAGCAGAGAAAGAGAAATACACCGTTAAAGCCTCCGTGTGCTCCTGGGAGGGTATGGGGCATGGGAGGCTGAGAAGCGGGTGCAATTTCCCTGCAGAGCTCCAGTTTCTTATTCCTAGGTCTCTTCTCTCCTCTAGGGCATTGCTTTTCCTCTGTGCGCTCCCTCTAATTCTACTCACCTGCCCTGCTCCAAGCCAGCCTGGGCTTCACCATTTTTCCTCGTACTGTTAATCTGAAAGCTCTGTATTTCCTCTCTCTCTCTCTCCCTCCCTCCCTCCATTCACACTTGAGCTTTTTTTCTGCAAAAAAGGAAAAAAAATAATAAAGCAGCCAAATAATTGATTATTCATCCAGGGATATTTTCAAGTACTCTTAAAATACATCAGAATGATAGGAATAAACCAAAACTATTACAGGAGGGCCTTGGAGAAATAGCACCTAAGGTTAACTCAGAAATGAAAGGTCTTGCCTCTTATTTAAGGAACTATGGGCACCACTGAAGATGTGGAAATAGTCTCTGATTCCTTCCAATGGGGAAAATAGAAAGGATAGAACAGGGTTAAAAGGAACATAAATCTACCAATTAAGATGCTTCTAAGTACATACATGGAACAAGTAACCAGTGATAAAGGGCTTGAGTTATGGGCATTTCTTGTTCTCACAAAACTATGGCCCAGAGGCTGGAGGATTCATAGCTTAACCATGTCAGGGTTTCTCTGAGACTCTTTTGGCACTTTTCCTCATTATTGCAAGATGGTTGCCAAGGCTCCATACATCATGTCTTGACAAAAGCACATTCAAAGTGCTAGGAAGAAGTGCATCTTTCACGAGAAGTAGAGGTTTCCACTTGGGCCAGCATAAAGGGAGCACAAAGCACCCTCAGCCCATATTCTGCACCTTTCGGTGGGTGCAGTGGAGCAGCACCCCAGTTATGGGATCTGTAATCTGAGCACAAGAATTGAGAAGGCAAGCCTGAGATGATCCTGTCCATTGTCCTCCAGGGAACCATGAAAGCAGTGAAGGGAAAATGCCTCCTCCCATGTTTACTTCGACCCACCCCTGCCAGGTGCCTTAATTAGTAGCAACAGTAATAAATGCTTCCGGTGAGTGACAAAGACTCAGAGTGCTGGGGAGTTACATGCCAAACACACAGCCTGCCTGGCCCAGCAGCTCAGGGCACAAAGGTTGCAAGACGAGGTCCAAGTGGCAGAAACGGCAGGCAGGAGGCAGTTGGTGCAGGCGAGCTAGCAAGATTTTTCAAGGCTGTGCTGGAAATGAGAGTTGGCGTCCACTTCCCATCACTGGAGAGGTGATGGGGGAGACAAGGGACAGGTCCACCTCGAAGGTCACCGCTGCCATCCTGGAGCCTTGGGGGAAACATGAAAGATGTGTGTCCAGCCTGTGGCTAAGAATGGTTGTGCTAATTGTTCCCCAGAGGCTGGCGCTCTCTCCCTCTCTCCGTCTCTCTGTCTCTCTCTCTCTCTCTCTCCCTCTCTCTCCCTCTCTCTCCGTCTCTCTGTCTCTCTGTCTCTCTCTCTCTCTCTCTCTCTCTCTCTCTCTCTGTCTCTCTCTCTCTCTCTCTGTCTGTCTCTCTCTGCAGGGAACTCTTTTTTTTTTTGGTATCGGGGATCCAGCTTGGGACCTTGCGCCCAGACTCTGCCTAGTGGGATGAGAGGAGACTCAGTCCTTTAACCGCCACAGCCCTGTCTGGGTTTGTTTTTAAGTATGGATGCTCTCTGTGCTCCAGCCCCTCTTTGCCCTGGCCCCAGGCCGGGAGACAGCGGAGAGAGGAGAAGGACGCCACGTGCTGAACATGGCACATCTGTCCTGCCAACATCTGCTCCTACCATCTCCCAAGCTCTCTTCTGCCCAGTCGATGGAAGAACATCTTTGATCCTCCTTAAGTCACTCTACTGGGCATCCCTTTCTCATGGTGGTTTATCCCACGTTCAGAGGTCTGGCTCTGGGCTGGAGAGGGGCAGCCCTGTCTTAGATCTTGGTGTTAAATGGCTCCGCAACACTTCCACAGTGCACTCCCTCCCAGGGAACTCACCGGCTTGGTTCCTACTGGAGTCCTTCATCTGGAACTTTTTTCCTCATCCTTCTTCCCAGGCCTGATTCCTCCTCACCTTCCATCTCAGGTTGGGGTCAGCCTCTCAGAGAGGCCCTCTTTGACCATCCTCTATGCAGTCCTTTTCCACGGTGCATAACCACCTGCGACAAGCTGAACCTGCAAGGCCAGCTTGCTTCCTAACGATCTGTGTGGGTCAGAGGTCCGTCATCTGGGTCTTCTTATCAGGGTCCCAAAAGGTGGCCCTGAAGGTGTCAGCTGGTCCTGGCTGCCTCTGGTGTTGGTGGGATTTGTTTTTCTGTCACTGTGTCCAAGATCTCTGGTTTCCTTGTTGGCTGTGAGCAGAGGGCCACTGTCAGCTCCCAGAGGCCACTCTGGTGTCCCTGCCACATGACCCTCTCTATAGGTGGTTCACAGCAGGACTGTTTGCTCCTTCAAGGAAAGCAGGAGACTCAGCCACTACAGGTGGAGTAGATGGGAGTCTTGTATACCAGGCTCCCAAGGCGCAGCATAGTCACGGCCTACCCACATTCATGGGGAGGGGAGCATGCAGGGCAGGACACCAGGGGCCCAGCATCTTGGCAGCCAGCACCCTATGCTAACACCAGGCCTACCTGCTCTGTTGTCCCTACTCACCAGTTTTAATACACATTTATCTGTTTGGTTGCTATATGTCTCTTCTTCCCACTAGATTATGAGCTGAGAGCTGTCAGGGCCCAGGATAAAGCCTAGCAAGAAGTACACAATAAATATGTTAATATTATACATAAAATATTAGAAATATTTTCTATTAATGTATAAATACAGATGTTAGCTCCATTACAGAGAGGAAGAAATGGCTTCTGGAGAGTTAAACAGCCTCCCCAGGGTCAACCAGCTAGTTAGGGGAAGAGCATAGACTAGACTAGAATCCAGACCCAGACTCTTCAAGTTTATGAACTCTGGGAATCTATGAGAAGCTTCCCTCCTCCTCTAGTCAGTTAGGCTCCTGGACTCTTCTGAACTACCTCAAGACTATAGGCATTGTCACTACTGCAAGAGCCAGAGAGGGTAATGGCAGCTCTGGGACCTGGGGATGTCCCAATCCCACCCGAGCTCACACACCTCTTCCCATGCAAACTCTTCTATCCAACTGCCATTTGCCATCTCCACTCAGAGGTCTAGAAGGTTCCTCAGACTCCCTGTGCCTCCCCGTGCCCCCAGCCCAGCTGTCCCACAGCCTTCCTTAAGAGACAGAAATGACTCTCCAGTGGTGGGTGCCAACACTCTGTCCTCATTGTCTGGGGTCCCCTTTCCAATCTGGTCCTTTCTGGCATCCCTCCATCTAACCATCAGCTCACAGTAACCCTTAACCTTCTCCACACCCGCTCTTGCTCTCTGGTCCCCTTTCCTCCTCACACTGGCTGGAGAGGGCCTTTAGGCTTCCTATTCATCCTCTGTCCAAAGCCCATCAGCATTCTCTCTTCTTGTTTTCAGGAAAGTCTGAGTTCTGCAAGGGGATACACACTTGCATCCACTGCTCCCCTCCCTCTCTGTCCTCTCCTGTCCCTCTGGTCCTGACTCTCTCTGCTGGAAACTCACGGGTCCCCTTGTGGTTCCTGAACACAAAAGCATGCTCCCACCTCAGGGACATTCAGACTTTCCTGCCAAACATCCTGGCTCCCACTACCTGCTTCAGCTGCTGTCTCATTTCCTTCTGGTCTGTGAAAGTTGCCTCATGTGATCTCCAAGCAGCCCTTTCCCAACTTTTTTTCTTCAGCCTATCTTCTTCTCCAGAGCACTTATCACAACCCTTTTTCTAAAAAAACAAAAAAATTCATTCCTATCTGCTTATTGGCGGCATCCCTTGTACAAGTTCACCACGGCAACCATAACAAAGTACCACAAAACAGGAGCTTCAACAGCAGAAATTACTGTCTCAGTTCTGGAGGCTGAAAGCCCAAGGTCAAGATGCTGGTAGGACTGGTCCTTTCCAGGCCCCTGAGAGAAGTCTTGGCTCTGGGCCTTTGCCCTGGGCTTGTGCATGACCAGCTCCTCCTTGTGTTCTTCATACCATTCCCTGTCTATGTGTGTCTCCATGCCCAAAGGCCCCCTCTTCATGAAGACACAAGTCCTATCAGATTAGAGCCCACCCTGATGAAGCCACTTTCACTTCATTACTTCTGCAAATACTCTTTCTTGAAACAAGGTCATCTTCTGAGGTACTAGAACTAGAACTTCAACAAAAGAACTTCAGAAGGACACAATTTCAGCCTATAGCATCCCCTTGCATGAGGAATAATACACAATAAGATCAGCCCTTGCATTTCCCTTGCCTTGCCTCCATGTTCGTTTGGGGTTTTTTTCTCCCCACAAAATGTTTTGTTCCAGAAATGTAACAGTTTGTGCTGCTTGGCAGCTCCTGCCCAGTGTATTAAAATGTTTGTGACTGTTTGAACTATATGACCTTTCAGGAATGTTCTGTTAAGCTCCACTCCTCTGCTTCAAGAATGTTCTGTAACCCCTCCCACCTGCTTCAGTGAGCATGCTCACCCATCCTGCAGATCCCTATATAAGGAAGCTCTCGTTTCTGGTAGAGCACTCAGACTTCCCATACGAACTCTGCTGAGCTGGCTGTTATAATAAAGGTTTTTCTCCACCTCTTCAAGTGACCATCCAATTCTTGAGTCTTCAAATTGTAACACTGTAACACTTGGCTGTGCCTCAGGCCGTGACACTTAGCTATAATACCAAGATGTTTCACTTTGCCACAACACCCTCAGAACATAAATTTCTTTCATCTTTAACAGAGAAGACACAAATTCATCTTTACCAAATGAATCAATATGCAAATAATCATCATTTTATCATCATTATCAACTAGAAAGTTTTAACTGACATGTCTATATTTCTATAAGATACTGATGGTTGATATTCATAGTATATCCTGGAATTATTTAAAGATCTCAAGATGCCATTTGGCTAACTGGACAAGATTACACCAAGCTTAGTATAATTTTAATGCTGAGTATATTTTACTAATATAAAATTTGGTCATTTATAGGTGGGATTTATATTAATCACCAAATAGCTACAATGTCTGTTTTCACTGTAGTGTGAAAGAACTTGGACATTTAAGTAACCTACCCCAAACAGGATTTCAATAAAAACAGTCAATGCTAGATTAAGGAAAGGAAAGCAAATGTGCTGACCATGAGAGTCATTATAATTGCTCTATTCAGCACAAAATTGTACTGCAAAATTTGGACAACATGGCCCAGGGATTTAGCTCAGTGGTTCTGCCGCCTGCCTTGCAAGAGCAAGGTTTCAAGCTTGATCTCCGGTACTAAAAAAAAAAATTTGGACAACACAACAGCAGGTATATCCAGGGCAGAATGATAGCAGCTTTTCAAGAGACAGAGATGATGTCTTGTGTAAAAGAGAAATTTCTATGTGGGGCAACCTACAGGCACCACTATCCGTGGCCTCATTCTGTGTTTTACTCCAACTTCAGAAGTATGCAGGCTCTTTCTTTCTTTCTTTCTTTCTTTCTTTCTTTCTTTCTTTCTTTCTTTCTTTCTTTTTTTTTGGCACTGGGGATGGAACTTGGGTCCTTCCACTTACAGGGCAGGCGGCGGAACCACTGAGCTAAATCCCCGGCCCTGCAGGCTGTTTCTTGCAGGTAGTATCCTAAAAATCAGGCAATGACATTAAAACATAATTTAGTGCAGGTATTTTTGAGGTGTGTGGAGCAATACAAAGCCTTCCACCCAAGAATAGCACATAGAACACCAACGGAGCATGCAGATTCCTTCTCTCCAACCAGTCTCATTTCCATCCAACCGAGCTCCTAGCCAGAAGGGACTCACACAGTGCCAAGTGACTCAGATATGTGGATCAGTATCTAAACTGCTCCACTTTCTAGCTGTGTGACAAAGGACAGTTTCTCATGAATAAAGTGATGATTCTAATGCCCAATTTGTAGGCGTGCAGTGAGGATTAAATTAAATAATATAAGTGAAGTTCTTAATACAATACCTGGCGCAGCGTAGGTACTCAGTAATGTTAGCAGTTATTAGTTGTAGCATTTCTTGGGTCACAGGACTCTGTGTGTGTGTGCACATGCACACACATGTACAACTACACGACTGAGTGGTAGAGTTCACATTCCCTTGTGAAAATCAAGGTACCTGAATGATTTGGTTTTTAGATGGAATGCATAATTAATTCATAATGCTTCCATTTTTAAGTTGGCACTCAGTTGAGAGCTAACGATGTATTTTCGTTTTAACTTTGCCTTCTTGTCACAGAGGATATGAAACATGAATGAATCCTGTTCCTTGCTGCCCCTAGTTCATGAAAAGCATCAGTTATTCGTGTGGTTCAGTCTCTTGGGTGCCCTTGGGATGTGTGGGGACATTGGCCCCCACACTATGTCACCCCCAGCTCTGTGCTATGAAGTTGGCCGATCTGTTTCTCCGGGAGTTGTCTGTTCCCTCTGCTGTCACTTCTCTTGTCACTTCTCATTGCTGCTAATCCGCTCTCTGATGAATACACAGTTGCTTAGATCACGGTCCAAGAATGTGTCCTTGTCCATCCCTTCCCTTCTTCTAGTAAAGCACAGCTATGCCCCTGGAGACCATTTGCTCTGAGTTCAAAGTGAAGTTCTAGGACCTGGATGACTGCATTCTAGAAATGTAATCCTGGAGGAGGGCATAGCTTAGCTGCCTGCTTGTTTTCCTGTTTGGCCAAAAACATGGCATTCAAGTCATAAGACTAATTTTACATTTTCTCTAAGTAATTAGGCTTCCAGAAAGCTCTGTCACCTGAATTTTTTTTTCATGAACCCTGAAAGCCAATTAGAACAGGGTGAAAAAACCCTGGAGATTCCCAGTTCTTCCTCTGCGGCAAAGGTATGAAGTTGCCTCAGGGTTCTCTGGGGAGTCCACTATCAACACATCTGGGCATTGTCCAGAGGATCGAATGAGTTTTAAATCTGTTAAAACTAGAGATCCGGAAGTAGGAATCAATCAAGGAAGGTGAAATAGTAAATGTGTGTAGGATGAGTTTCCCTCCCTAATAAAAGAGAAGTAGGAGGGGCCAGGGATTTAGCTTAGTGGTTCTGCCGCCTGCCTCACAAGTGCAAGGTCCTGAGTTCAATCCCCCATACCAAAAATAAAAATTAAAAAATTAAAGGGAAATAAGAGACAGGCAAATTGTATTTAGAAAAGGGCCAGAGAAGAAATATGTTTAGGTTTTGCAGTATATGCAGTCTTTTTTTGTATACTGTCTTCTCCTTTTATTTCTTTTTGGTTTACTGGGGAGAAGGGATTTTTTTACAAACCCTTAAAACTGTAAAAACTATCATTAGCACTGGGCACAGTGGTGCATGCCAGTAATCCCAGTACCCAGGAGGCTGGGGCAGGAAGATGGCCATGAATTTGCAGCCAGCCTGAGTTAACGTAGTGAGTTCAAGGCAAGCTTGGACTACAGAGGGAGTCTCTGTCTCCAAAACAAGACAAAACGAAAACCCACCATTAGCTCAAAAACTGTACACAGCTGGGCAGATTTGGCCCAGAAGCTGTAGTTTGCTGATCCCAATCCTTTTTTTAAATTTTTAAAATTTTTTTTAGTACCGGGGATCGAACTTGGGTCCTTGCACTTGTGCAGCAGGCAGTGAAACCACTGAGCTAAATCCCCAGCTGATCCCAATCTTTGACCACAGAACCATGCATGGATTGTGGCTTTGCCACCATGATCAGGGATAAGTAAACCAAGCATTCTAAGCCTCAGTCTCATCAGCTAGAAAATGAGAATCCTACCACCCATACTGTTGACTGGGATGCTTTACCACAGTGCTGAACACCAAGGGGCATTCATCATCCTTGCATGGTGGCTGGCACTGCTGTTTCCTGAATCATTATAGAGTCTGTTTTAATGTTACTACCTCTCTTGGTTTCTTCCTCTCTGAAAAGTCACTTAAATGTTAAGGTTGGAATTCGATGTGAGAGTTTGATCTATGTATTCATAGGGAGGCCTGAGGGAATAAGATGGATTTGATGGTAGCTCCTAAATGTCTCTCCTGCCAGCCTGACAAAGGCGTGAATTTACACCATGAGAATGGCTTTTTTGCCACAAGATACCAAATTTCCATAGTCCCCTGTTATGGTACGATTACCTGGAAGGAACAGAGCTCACCTTTCTGGGAGCCTCACTAATAACACAGCACACCTTGCCTTTCAAAATAGCTCATCTCTGAGCACAGAGCCTGAGGAAAATGTCCACCACAAACCTCTCAGTAACCAGAAGACAGTCTGTGAAAGAATAGGTCAGAGGGGCTGTGAGAAATGAAGGCTAGAGGGAAACTCCAAGACAGGAAGTTAAGAGCACAGGAACTTCCGGTTCGCATACTCTGTAGCTTTCACATTCTAAGGCCTCTCTCCCCATCCCAAGGTTCTGGCAAACTTGCTCCATTGTTGGTGCCTGAAATGTGTTTGCTCTTCGAATCCCAAGTCTAGCTGGACACATCTTGCCTCCAGGACTTTCAAATTCCACCCCACACCCTTTGCTGACGGAATTGTTTGTGTTTCTAGAAAGTTGTGTGAGCTTGAAAGGTGGTAAAAGTAGGTTCTTTAAAAAACTGTTCTATTTTTGTGATTGTAAAACACAAGAAACATGCATGAAGCATGGGTCTATGGTAAAAGAACTGGTGTAATCATCCAGTCCCTTGTCCTCCATGCTGGTCATAACAGCCTCCCCCCATCCAGTGTCATTGCCGACATCCTCAAGGCCAGGCCACCCATCTCTTTACTCTTTTGAAAAATAGTTGTATTACCCAATTGTGTATGATCAGCCAACGTATCTAAATATGTGGTTTCAAATTTCCTATGAGCAGAGCTGTGCAATTTGTATTTTGGGGTGCCTGGTCCTCTTACTCAACATCAGGTCCTTAACAGGCTTCCGAGTCATGATATGACAAGGTCTGATTTATCATAATTGCTGCGTAGGAATCTACAGTGGTTTACCTGGTCTAACGTTGACAGACCTTTGTGTCGTTTCCATGTTGGAGCAATTACAGTACAAACAACACCACTGAGACCAGCCTGGTGCTATAAGCTTGGATTTCTAATAAGACCTAGAATGAAATTGTAGTCATAGAGTATGTGTGTCTTCACTTTTAGTAAGCACTGCTGAATTTTTTTCAGTACATTTTCCCTGTACTTTTCTTGCATTGCCATACTTAACTCATAAAATATGACTAAAGATAATTGTTGGTTTTTTTACTTTATTTATTCATTTATTTTTTCAGTACTG